GTGATCCACCCGCCTCGGCCTCCCAAAGTGCTGGGATTACACATGTGAGCTACCATGCCCAGCCTAGTTTTATTCATCTTAATTACAGTCTCCCTGTTCTGGGGAGCCAAAGAAGAAAGGGACTCGGGGAAAGAGGAGAAGGAGCTGGTGATGGGTGGGAAGGTAGGCAGTGTCCTGACCTGAAACGGTGTGACGACTGCTGACTTCCCTTTCCTAGATCTGAGCTGACGAAGGGGAAACGGTGTTGCCTCAGCAGTCCCCTCCGTCAGAGCCCTCAGGCACAGACTGCCCTTAGGCACAGACCGCCCTTGTCTGCCCCCTCAGCCTCAGCCTTGGTCCGCCTGGTCCCCAGCGCCCTCTCCTCTGGCTGACACAGGAGGACCTGCCAGACACAGCCAGGTGTACCACGGCTGACTGCAGCCATCTCCCCCAGGATCCTGCTTCTCCTGCCTCCTGCTTTTTTTCCCCAGAGCTGTCTCCTTACCTTCTCTTGTCTGTGGGTTACTCCTGGACCCTGGGATTAGGAGGTGGAATCAGGCTGTTAGCAATAAAAGGGTTTAAGTTGACTTATTTTCCTTATCAGGCTTAGTAAGTGAAGTGACTTGCTAAGGTTCATAATTCTTACAAAACCAGCCATGAACCCAGGTCCCTTTCTGACTCACCCTGCCATGCTGTGACACATGCAGTCTAAATGGCAGGGCTGGGGCAAGAACCCACGTCACCTGCACTTGGAGTCCAGTGACCCTTTGGGTTAAGCATGTGCCTGTGTGTGTGTGTGTGTGTGTGTGTGTGTGTGCGCGTGTGTGTGTGTTTCGTGATGGGGGAGGAAGGTCACTGCTATCGGCAGCTGTTTTCTTCATCCTTTGTTCTGCAAACCCTAACAGCTGATTCTGTCCTTCCTCATCTGCCCCTCTCCTGTTTCTGCATCTCCTCTGATCATGATTTTTTTCTATCCCTGAAGGGATGATGGTCTCATTCTCACCTCCTCCACAAAACGTACCAGTTTTTCATATCCCTAGATCCACCCACTTCTCACTGTCTTTTCTTTTTTTTTCTAAACAACATTTTATTGAACAATTTAATACTACCTGTGTCAACATTGTAAAGTTATTGAGTAAATAAGCATTTATCCTAAATATTGAGAAATATTCTGTGTTTGTGCCAGGCTATGTGTCATGGCTTTGGTACTTTTAGACTATTAGAAATACCTTGTAGCATTAAAAATAGGACACTGAAGTCATTTTTTTTTTTTCAGCCCTCTCCCACACCACACTCCCCTGTATCACTTATCTTCCTGAAGTTGTTATTAATCATTAACACAACTAGCTGGGCACAGTGGTGTGTGATGGTAGGCTTAGCCCCTCAGAAGGCTGAGGTGGGAGGCTAGCTTAAGGCCACGAGTTCTAGGTTAGGAGAACGATGATTGCACTGCTGCAATTTAGCCTGGGTGACAGAGCAAACACCTGTTTCAAAAAAACATTTTTTTTTTTTTTTTTTTTTTTGAGACGGAGTTTCACTCATGCTACCCAGGCTGGAGTGCAATGGCGCGATCTCGGCTCACCGCAATCTCCGCCTCCTGGGTTCAGGCAATTCTCCTGCCTCAGCCTCCTGAGTAGCTGGGATTACAGGCACGCGCCACCATGCCCAGCTAATGTTTTGTATTTTTAGTAGAGACGGGGTTTCACCATGTTGACCAGGATGGTCTCGATTTCTTGACCTTGTGATCCACCCGCCTCGGCCTCCCAAAGTGCTGGGATTACAGGCTTGAGCCACCGCGCCCGGCTCAAAAAAAAAAAAAAAAAAAAAAAAATTAATTGCCATCATGCCATCACTTGTTGAATGCTTAATATATGGCAAATACTTGCTAAACACTTCGCATGCTTGATTTAAGCATGAAGCCAGCTCTTTGAAGGGTACCAGCATGTTTCCCAGTTTTTAGATGAGCAGACTGACGTTCTCGCTGCTTCATATTGGAAACTTGCGCTTGATTCTAAGGCCCCTGCTTCTTCAAGAGCTCCGCTTTGGGTTTGCTTCTGCTGTCCCTGGGATCTCCTTCATGTTGGTGGTGAGCTGCTTCCTCTCGGAGCCCAGCTTCAACCCTGCCGTTCTCCAGAAGCTGGACGATGGGGTGGAGTGAAGTCAGCTCCCCTCGCAGTGCGGGACACCAAAGCGCCATTCTCATCTGCAGATCACAGAGGGGAGGCCAGGAAGAGCCAGGGAGGGTGGTCTTGGGGCTGGGAGGTCATCTCAGAGGGAGAAGGGGTGAGGAGCTCTGAGTTCAAGTTCCGAAGCTCTAGGACCTCCCTCTTCTCTGACTCCCTTCATTTCTAACAGCCTCAGCTGCTGCAGGCCCTTGGATGGGGCTGGGCGTAGGGAAGGTCATTGTACCCAGAAGATAGTTGCGTAAATGTTGTATCTTTGTTGTAGGATTCTTTTGGGAGATATCTGCATCAGTGGGGATGGCATAAAGTACCCAGAGTCAGGATGTGGGGTCTGATTCAAAGTGACAGAAAAATTGGCAGTGTGTCTCTCATTAGCCAAAGGGGCCCTTGGACCGGGAGTCGGGAGTCTGGTGTTCTCTACTGGCTCTGCTTCCTGGCACACCGGGTTTCTGGACCTCAGTTTTCTTCTCTAGAAAACCAGGAGGTTGGCTGGACACAATGGCTCACACCTGTAATCCTAGCACTTTGGGAGGCTGAGGTGGGCAGATGTCTTGGGCCCAGGAGTTCAAGACCAGCCTGTAAAACAGGGTCAAACACCGTCTCTACCAAAAATACAAAAATTAGCCAGGCCTCGTAGTGGGCACCTGTAGTCCCAGCTACTTGGGAGGCTGAGGTGGGAGGATTACTTGAGCCCGGGAGGTCGAGGCTGCAGGGAGCTGTGATGGTACCATTGCACTCCAGCCTGGGAAACAGGGTGGAGCCTCAAAACAAAAACAAAAATGAAAAACAGGCAAACGAAGAAATGAAAAAAACCTGTGGGGTTGGAGTAGATGATCTCTAGGGTCCGTTATAATTGATGTATTAGAATATTTGGGAAAAGGGCCTTGGGAATATATGAGGACCACCTGATGGAAATACCTTTATTTCCACAGCAGCTTCGTGCGTCTCATTGATCCCCATGGCATCACTTTCCACATGTAGTGGGCAGGCATTGTTACCACTGTTTAATAAATGAGGAACCAACAGAGGCTGAGGAGAGGAGTCGCCTGATGCCCCATGATTGGTGGCAGAGCCAGAATCAGCAGTGGGGCAGTTGGCCAGGGGGGACCTGGCCAGGCAGAGACTGGATAAGACCTGGGATAAGTAATGGCAGGGACCCAGTCAGGACAGAAAACGAGGGTTAAGGCTTACTTTGAGGTTTGGATTGGACAAGTAAATTCCCAAGAAAGAAAGAGACGTGGAGGCTAGCGAGGAACTCTGGAGTAAAAAAGGGGAGTGCGGGTAAGGGACGTGGAGTACTTACGGTGCGTCAGACACTTATCTGCATCTCTCCTGTCTGAACAAATCCTTACAGGAACCCCAGGAGACAGGTTATCTCCACTCTGCAAACTGGAAAACAGACCCAGAGAGGTTCAGTTATGTGACCAAGACCACCCAGCTAAGAAGCTAAGCATTCTGAACTGGAACCCAGTGACTCTGACTCCCAAGCTCTGGGTCTCTTCATTGCTGTGTTCCATTTGGGAAAGGCTGGTGACGGGGGGAGGGGTTTATTGCCCGCTGGTGTTTGGTTGGGAGTGGTCGGATTGGTGGGTTTGGATTGGTGGGTTCGGGGTGCAAGGCAGCCGGATCTGGGACTCCCGTGCTTGTGACTGGGGCTTACAAAGAGTTAACCCGCCTCCCGCCTCCTCCTCCAGCTCTTCCTGGTGCGCTGTTGCAACACCGACTCACTCTGCCTCACTGTTCCCCTCCCACCTCCTCTCTCCTTCTCTCTAATTTTCTCAGAATTCTCTGCACCCGGGCTCCAGTTCTAGCCTTTGGGGCTCAAGATCACCGGGACCGGGCCGTCGTCTCTATGCCCGAGTCTCAGCCCTCAATTGTCATCTCCAGACACTTGTGATGTCCCGGACAGACCGAGAGGAGACTCAGGAAGCCTCCTGCGCTGCCACTGCCACACTGCCCTGAGCCCAAATGGGGGAGTGAGAGGCCATAGGTGTCTGGCATGGGCCTCCCCATCGTGCCTGACCTGCTGCTGCCACTGGTGAGACCAGGGAGAAAGGGAAGAGTGGGCTGGTGGGCGAGGCCCTGCCCGGCGGCGTGGGCACTATCCGGGAGGGGGCTGAGCCTCTCTCCTGCCCCGGCCTGGCTCTGGCGCCAGCCTCAGGCCGGCAGGTCCTAACGTCAGCCCCTGCCAGTGTGGGGTTCCCCATTCATCCGCCTCTTGGAGTAGGGGCTGCACTGAGGCAGGGGAACTGGAGAAGTTCGAAAGGGAGAGAGTAAGGGAAGCCCGGGCCCCTGACAGCGTGGGAGTTTGCCGGAGCCGCGGGAATGGGGGGCAGGGGATAGGTCCAGGGTGGGGCAGATTTGGCGGGGAAAGGAAAGGAGTGGGAGTAGGAAGCTTAGTGCTCCGGGAGCCCAGACGGTTCTGAATTCTGTCCCTCTGGTCAGCTGGCTGGCCTGGAATGTGTCGGGCTGTGGGGAGGCCAGGTTGCCTGTGGAGCCTGGCTCAGCACCGCCTGTAGGGCAGGAGTGAGGCGCTAGGGAAGCGGGGAGAGCGAGTCCAGGAGCGGACGCGTTGGTGTGGTGGGTTTGGGATGCTGGCGGGGGGAGGTATTTGAGAATGGGCTGGGACGCTGGATGGGGCAGGGCAACCCAGTGGACAGCGCCCCAGCGTCCCGGCCTCTCACCTGGGGACATTCCTTACCCTTCTGCCTGCTGGTAGGCAGGTGGCTTCTGTGGGACTGACTATTCCCAGGGAGCCAGCACTACCCACACCTGGAAAGTGTCCTTGGGCCTGTCCTCCAGCTTCCCCTCCCCCACCCCCGCTTCCCACAGACCTAAACAACAATCCCTTGGTTTCTGATTCTACAGTTCAGTTTGGGGAAGTTGGTAGAAAGTTGTTTCGTCACTGGAAAATGTCCCTTTCTCTGACCTCGGCCTTGTTTCAATGTATCCTTGATCATCCTCCATGGCTTGGTCAGGGAATCAATGCGTTCAGTGGCCCTGGGCCCATCAAATCGGGCAGATTTTCTCTGCCCTGTTGTGGCCTTGCCCTGCCCGGCCTCTGAAAGCTGTGCCTACCCCCTCTATCTTATGCGTTCCTCTCCCACCATTCCTTTCTTTCCAACAATCTCCCCACACTCTCCTCAGACTTCCAAGAGCCTCTTTTTTGAAATCCTTTCTCTCTAGTCCCCTTGCACCTCCTCTCTGCTCCGCTCTGGTCCCGCATTTCCAGCCCCAGGTCCCCAAGTGGCACGTCCCCGTCAGGGTCTGACTCTTCTTCTCCCTCCCCCTGCCTCCTTAGTTTCACCCTGTCTTCCCTTCTCCCCACTGTCCTTCCCCCAGGGTCTCCCCATCAGACAGCTGCCCTGACACCCTGCTTCTGTTTTCTGTTTGGGGTGGCCCTGGCTCTCTCACGTACCAGCGGCATGAGCAAGAGCAGGTTTTATAACCTAACCTTCCATGCTTTCGTTTCTTTATCTCCAAAATGGATGTCATAGTCATGACCTCATACTGTGCTGAAAGTCGACTAGACTGATACATGCTAAGTGTTCATTTGATTTATTAAGTGCGTGCTCTGGGCTAGACACTGTGATAGGTGCTGGGATTACAGCAGAGAACAAAATCCCTGCTCATAGCTTTGTCCATCGGGGGAATAGGATGTAGCAAATAGAAAGCACTCAGCAAAGGTTGCATGTTGCTCTGATTAGTAGCAATTACTCGGTGGCTGCCTGTCTGGAAAACAGAGGATAAAGGTAGCAGGAACAGGTAAAGGAAAGTGCCTGGGGCCTGGGTGCTTTGGCCCAGGTGGGTTTATGTCTCCTAAGGGACAGAAGCCTGGTCTGGAGTTGGGGGGGAGGGGAAACCAAGAGAGTGCAACGTCGTTCTGAATTTCTCACCATTCGCTGGGCAATGCAGAGCTCACAGTGTGCGTGTGTGTGTGTGTGTGTGTGTGTGTGTGTGTGAGGTGGGGTAGGGCAGTAGAGAAGAATGATACAGGAGAGAGTGTGGCAAAGCAAACAGGATTTTGCTGCTCTCAAAGAGCTTACAGCCTAGGAACCAAGGCAGCTTACAGTGAAAAATGATTTCAGAGCAATCCCGAGGAAAATGCATTGTGATGTGGTGTCCTAAGCACCAATGGAGGGAGGAAGAACTGGGGAAGGAGATGAATCTTCGACCCCGGCCCTGCCTTGCTTAGCAGGTCTCAGCTTCTGTGCTCAGTATCACAAAATTCAGGAGCTTCCCCAGGCTGCTTCGGTGTCCTTCGCTGTGCAACTGGAGTGCTCCCTATATAGATCTCAGGGCCTATGACTGACTTTCTTTGACCCAACTGAGAGCTCTTTCTCGTTTGTTTGTTTTGAGATGGAGTCTCGCTCTTGTTGCCCAGGTGGGAGTGCAATGGCGTGATCTCGGCTCACTGCAACCTCTACCTCCCAGGTTCAAGCAATTCTCCTGCCTCAGCCTCTCTAGTAGCTGGGATTATAGGTATGCGCCACCATGCCCAGCTAATTTTGTATTTTTTTTTAGTAGAGACGGGGTTTCACCATGCTGGTCAGGCTGGTTTTGAACTTCTGACCACCTTGGGTGAGCCACCCGCCTTGGCCTCCCAAAGTGTTGGCCGAGAGCTCTTGAGAGCATGAACTGTGTATTACCCCCCTCGGCATCCCGAGCACCCACACAGGACCTGTCACATAAACTGTGCCCCTTAACTATTTGCTGAATGAATTAAAGAACAAGAGGTGGGTCAGATGGGATGAGGGCGGGAAAGCCTCACAGAAAAGTGGATATGAGACTGACATCTGAAGTCACTGCCTGGCAAGGTAGCTAGAAAGGAGGGAGGCAGAGTCGGAGGCTGATGTAAGGAAGAGGAGAGCAATGGAGAGATGGGATTTTGTGTTGATGGGCAGGGTGGCAGGAAGCCAGACACCTTGGCGGGCGTGGAAAGACTATGTTGAGAAACACTAAGAAATGAGAATGGGAACATTAGAGGGAGCGGGGGAGAGGATGGAGGAAGAACATTGAATATGGTCCCAGGTGAAGGAATTCATTCATTCACTTTTTCAGAAGCTGTTGTGATACATGTTAAGTGTTCATTTGATTTATTAAGTGCATGCTCTGGGCTAGATACCGTGATAGGGGCTGGGATTACAGCAGAGAACAAAATCCCTGCTCATAGCTTTGACAGTCCATCAGGGAAATAGCTGCAGCAAATAGAAAGCACTCAATAAATCCCAAGATCTTGACATTAAATAAAGTTTGTATATTGCTCTGATTAGTCGTAATTACTGGGTGGCTGCCTGTCTGGAAAACAGAGGGTAAAGGTAGCCTGAACAGGTAAAGGGAAGTGCCTGGGGCCTGGGTGCGTCAGCCCAGGTGGGTTTATGTCCTCAGGGTACACGCTGTGCCTGGACTGTGATTGGAAGTGAGGCATCTCAGACGGGTGCCGTGGCTCACGCCTGTAATTCCAGCACTTCAGGAGGCCGAGGCGTATGGATTGCGTGAGTCCAGGAGTTTGAGACCAACCTGAACAACACAGCAAAACCCCATCTCTACAAAAAATACAAAGACGAGCAGGGCATGGGGGCTCATGCCTGTCGTCCCAGCTACTCGGGAGACTGAGCTGGGAGGATCGCTTGGGCCCAGGAAGTGGAGGTTGTAGTGAGCCCTGAACACACCACTGCATTCCATCCTGGTGGTGGAGGTTGCAGTGAGCTATGATTGTGCCATTGCACTTCACCTGGGCGACAGAGTGAGACCCTGTTTCAAAAAAAAAAAAAAAAAAGAAAGAATGTCAAAAAAGAAGTGAGGCATCTCTGGAAGTGCTTATTCAGATCATTTCCATAATGACCATGGAAATGGTGTTTGGAGCCAGGCCCTGGAGATGAAGAGAAGTTCACACACTTGTGCGTGCAGGTTAAAGCCTGAAAGTACTGGTGCCCGCTGGCTGGGCATGATGGCTCATGCCTGTAATCCCAGCACTTTGGGAGGCTGAGGTGGGTAGATCACGAGGTCAGGAGTTCAAGACCAGTCTGGCCAAGATGGTGAAACCCCGTCTCTACTAAAAATACAAAAATGAGCCAGGCATAATGGCAGGAGCCTGTAATCCAAGCTACTCAGATGACTGAGGCAGGAGAATCGCTTGAACCAGGGCAGCAAAGGTTGCAGTGAGCCGAGATCGAGCCACTGCATTCCAGCGTGGGTGACAGAGTGAGACTCCGTCTCAAATTTAAAAAGCCTGAAAGCAGATAAGGAAGTGTGTAGGGTGAATGGGAGCAGGAGAGAGGTTGGGAGACAGCTTCCATAACCCAGGTGTGAGGCAATCCAGGAATGCGGACAGGACGGAGAGGTCACAGAGGGAGGCCTGGCAAGATGAACTGACACATAGGATGGCAGCAAGGATAGGGACAGGGACCTGGGGAGAGAGCGTGTCAAGGTCTCAGCGTTTGTCCGGGAAGTCGATGGTGTGACATTTGTCTAGGGGTGAGGAGACGGATGAATTTCATCTGGGGCATGTTAAGAGTCAGGGAATGGTCATGTGGAAGTCTGTACCTACCAAGCCAGAGCAGAGGTGCTTAAAGTTCTTTCTGCCTTTGTATCATTCGGACGCTCTGTATTCACTCATCAGTGCTTCTCAAGAGGAGAGGAGCACACCAGACTCTTCAGTATGGGTGTGTGTGCTTGCGTGTGGGGAGGTGGGGGAATGGTATGAAAACTCTCCCCTGGAGATAAATATATTCCTACCAGGGTGCTGTCTCCTCACCTCCCTATTTGGGGATCACTGGCTTCCACCAGAGTGGAAGACAGATGTGTCATTAGATCGATCAGTTGATCCATATTTATCTGCTCCCAGTCTGGAGGCCTGGTTCTGGGAGCTGAGAGGACACCAGGGGAGGATAAGATACTTTCTCGCCAGGACTCTCTTTGATCTCTCATCTTACAAGGTTCGTGGTCACTTTGGGGAGATCATATCTGTCACCCAGCATAACCATATTATGATAAGAGCCAAAAGTAGATAGGTTCAGTTCACATAATTCAAGTTCACAGGGGCTGAGGGTCTAAGGAGCTGCGGTGGAGGAAACAGACATCATCAATGGAGGCTTCATGGAAAGGAGATGGGATCTGAACTGGGCCCTTGGAGGAGAAGCTGCCATGACCTCCCCCAAGATCTTGACATTAAATGAACAGACATGTGAATGCAGGGGAAAGGAAGACTAATTGAGTCCTGCAAGGTGGCTGGATCAGGGTCAGACCACAAGGTAGATCTCAGCTTCGCCTCCCCACTCCGCAGCCCCAGCACAGGAAGTCACACTTTAAAGCCTCCCCTGGCGGAAATTGCGGGGGAGTTGGAGGGTGTTGGGCCACCCCCTCAACTGTCTCTCCACAGGCACCCCAGCTTCCTGCCCTTCCCCTGCTCTAGGTTGGAGTCTGGGCCTGCAGAGCTCACCTCCTGTTCCCACTGTTTTGTTTCACTTATGCAACTGCTGAGGACTGGGCTCACTGGGCCCGCTGGTGCCAGCAGTGGTGCCCACTTGGGGGGAGTCCTAGGGGTCAGGGAGGACTGACCCGGAGCATTCTGGGGGCCAGGGGAAGCCTGGGAAGCAGGACCAGTTCCTCCATCTGGCATCACTTCTTGCCTGCTCCCTTATTCCTGGAAGTGGGTGCTCAGGGCTCTGGAGCCTTTCCTGTGCTACCAGTGGGCTCGGGGAGGGGCTGCGGACACTCAGAACTGGTCTGATTTCCTAGGGATTGTCTGGGGGCCCTGGGGGGGCCCCCTAACCCAGCACAACTGGCCAGAGCCAGCCCGGCTGTGGGAATGCGGTGAACCCAGGGTGGGAGGGCAGCCTTGGCCTGCCTCCTACTGGGACTGGGGAGAGTTGGGGGCTGGAGTGAGAGCTCATTGAATGGGTTTGGCTGTAGGAGACTTGTTGAACTGGTAGAAGGAGCGGGGCGGGGCCTCGGTTAAAGGATGCTGAGGGGCAAGGAGGAGCCAAGTGGTCCTTGGGGAGGGGAGGGCACTGACCTGATGGGTGGAAGCCAGGGTCAAGGGAGACTTCCCTTTGGGATGGAACGGGGAGAGGGAGGCATTTCCCGGAACAAGTGGGCCAAGTGGGACAGGGGTCTGTGGCCTGGCTCTTTGAATGGAGGGGGTTGAAAGGGGGTTGAGTGGAGATGGGAAGGAGGGACTGGGTCATAGGAAGAAAGGATTGATGGAGTCCCATGCGCGGGCTAGTGCCTTCTGCCTTTCTGCTGACTCACGACCCTGAGGAGCTGGGGAAGCTGCTAGTTCCCTCTCCCCCTCCCTAGATCTCCCTCCCTCTGGCCTGAGTCACCGGGGCGGAGTTGCTGGGAAAAGATTTCCCTTTCCCGGATCTGACTTAACCCCCAGAGTACTGGAAAGAAAAGGGAACACGTGACCTGAGAAAGCCTCTCTCCCTCTCTCCCTCCCTCTAGGGAGGCTCATCCCCCACTGGCCAGAGGTCCCTGTAAAGCTTCCTTCAAGGCTGTCTGGGTCTGGCGTCCCCCAGTTCTTCATACTGACTCTGTCTCTGCCTGTTGACTCTGCCTCAAGCGCCCTGGATGGGATCCAAAGCGCCAGTGACCTTAGATGCCCCAATGCCTTCTTCGGGGAAAGGAACCACACTTTCAGGATTGGGAAGTTCTTCCCATCACCACCCCAAGCCCTTCCTGTTGCCCTGGACACCCCAGTCCTATTTCAGGGGAGGTGGCATAGTGTTGGCTGGCGTGGGCTGGGAAAGGTTGCTGTCCTCTGAGCGGGTTGGCGGGGTCGCACACCTCCTCTCGCCAGGGCTGGGGCTCTGCTGTGTTTGTTCTGTTTGGCTTCGCCTGCTTGCGGCTGAGGCTTGGGCTTCCGGGCCTGCGCAGCTGCGGCTGCAGCGTCTCCCAGTGGCTGACTCAGGGCGTGACTGGCCTCCTACTGGGAAATGTGGAGCTGGAGAGGCTGGGCAGCTGTGGGCTGCCTGGCCCTCCTTCCCTGGCCTGGGGTTTCTGTTACCTGGTGAGTCTGTTGCTCCCCAGTGTTTAACAGATGTTGAGGACACCCTCTTATCTTTACATAAAGTGACTCTTATAGCAGAGAAAAAACAATCGAAGCCCAGGGAAAACCAGAAATGAAACTGGCAGAGATCAAAGTCCCAGGCTGGAGCTAAATATTCACTCCTGGTGTTGCTTTCCTGGCACTGATGCCAGAACAGGGCAAGCCGTTTAGCTGCTGCGGGGTTGGCCTGAGGCTATAAAGCATACCTTCCAGAATGCCATGGCATGCAGGGGGCTCCGGGACACCCCAGCACTCCCTCAGCGCTGACCTGACCCTCATCCAAGCTGGGTCACCAGCCTTGGCCAGCAATACTTGCCTGTGACCTGTACACCTTTGCCCACTCCTGCCCCCATCTCAACTTCGTGTCCCATCCACCCATCCAGGACCCACCACCTTTCCCTTTTACTCCCCTCCCCATTTGTCCTTGCCAACCCTGGGTGTTTGTGTAGATTATGAGGTGGAGGGGATGGGCCAGGGAAGGCTTGATACAAACAGGTAAATAAACTTCCTTCTGCTTCTGCCCACTCCCCGGGAGTGGTGCTCACAAGAACATCGCTCGTCCCCACCAGCAGCTGACTTTTCAGAAAGCTTTTCATGGTGTGACCTATTCCCGGGATGTGCACAGATCCTTACTGATTACCTCTGTGAATGTTCACAAAGTGATCCCACTGTGAACCCAGCACCCAGGTGGAGAAACACTGCCCCAGTCTTCGGGGCTGCTTGTTGGAAGAAAGGGCCAACAAGCCCTGAAGTAACCTGCCAATTCCCAATTAAAAACACATCCTTTCAGCCTCTGCCCCGTGTCCAGCACTGTTAACGGCTGTCGGGGATTTCCCAGGGAGGATAAAATACAGTGCTGTAATCCTGGCACAGTGGGAGGCCAAGGTGGAAGGATCACTTGAGCCCAGGATTTTGAGACCAGCCTGAGCAACATAACAAGACCTTGACTCTACTAAAAATCAAAAAAAATTAGCTGGGCATCATGGTGCACACCTGTAGTCCCAGCTACTTAGGAGGCTAAGGTGGGAGGACCGCGTGAGCGTGGGTGGTGGAGGCTGCAGTGATTGCACCACTGCACTCCAGCCTGAGCAACAGAACAAGATCCTGTCTCAAAAAAAAAAAAAAAAAATACAGCTTAGCTCTGGGGCCTACTAGCTTCGAGTTGAGGGAACAAAAATGAACACACAGAACAACCAGAGAACAATGAAGCATCAGATTATATGGTCCCAGCTGTCCAAGTTTCCAAGAAGAACTCTCAACCTTGTGAGTGGGGTGGCCTGGCGGGAATGTTTCATGGAGGAAGGACTTAAGCTGGGGAGGTTTTAGATCCGTTGCCCCTAAGCTTCCCTCCCTCCCTCTCCTGATGGTGTCTCCTCTATCTGATTCTTCCCCAGGTGCTCCTGGTGCTGCTGGTGGGAGTAAACCCCTCAGGGGTTATTGGACTGGTCCCTCACCTCGCGGACAAGGAGAAGAGAGATAGTGTGTGTCCCCAAGGAAAATATATCCACCCTCAAAATAATTCTGTTTGCTGTACCAAGTGCCACAAAGGTAAGAGAAAGCGGAAAGAGTGAACGTCCTCAGGTCTGGGGCGCTGCTGCTTCTGCGTCTTTCAGCTGCTCTTCCCTAACTTTGCTTCCTCTCCTGGGCTGGGATTTTCTCCCTTGCTCCTCTCCTAGAGACTTCAGGGTGGAGCGATGAGAACTATATGGGGCGGTGCTGGAAGGAACTTGAGAAAGTGAGTTCCCAGCAGGAAGGGTTCTGCTGTTGTCCCTAGCGTGGAGCTCCTTCCCTGAGCTGTCACCCACAGCCTAACTCTGCCGCCCCGTTCACAGGAACCTACTTGTACAACGACTGTCCAGGCCCAGGGCAGGACACGGACTGCAGGGAGTGTGAGAGCGGCTCTTTCACCGCTTCAGAGAACCACCTCAGACACTGCCTCAGCTGCTCCAAATGCCGAGAGGGTGAGTGTACACAGGCTGGAGAGTCAGGCGGGTCTTGAGCGGTGCGTGCCTGCCTGTCTGTGTGCAGGCAGGTGGGTGTGGGCATGTGTGTCGGTGGGACACTGCATGGATGTGAGTGTGTGTTAAGAGACAGACACACACGTAGGGGCATGTCAGGAAGGGGATGCAGGGACAGGGGATGCAGGACTCACGCCCCATCTCCTCCCCGCACCAGAAGTGGGCCAGGTGGAGATCTCTCCTTGCACAGTGGACCGGGACACCGAGTGTGGCTGTGGGAAGAACCAGTACCGGCATTATTTTAATGAAAACTTTTTCCAGTGCGTCAACTGCAGCCTCTGCCTCAATGGCACCATACATATCCACTGTGAGTGCAGCTCTCCCGATCCCAAGCCCTCTCCCCACCCCAGGGGCTGGCCCCTTCCCCATGCCACGGCACTTCCTTTTCTTCCCCCTCCCATAGTCTGTGGATCTGACAACCAACTCCCCCACCCTGTCCCTCGTCACTTCCTCTGTCCTGTGCGGTGGGGGTGCAAGGCGCTCCTCCTTTAGCTATGCGGTACTTCTCCCCACAGGCCAGGAGAAACAGAACACCGTGTGCAACTGCCATGCAGGGTTCTTTCTAAGTGAAAACAAGTGCGTCTCCTGTAGTAAGTGAGTATCTCTGTGAGCTGCCGGGCACTGGATGGTAGCATGGGTTGGGATGGTGACTGTGGGGGGGGGGCACTAGCAGGGCAACGGATGCCAGGATGCCCGAGTGCTCAAGCTCCTACTGGCTGAGTGGAAGACACTTCGTTAAGACACCAGGCAGTCCTTCCCCTTGCTCTTCAACCCTTAAGAAGTCTTTGAGGGTAGAAGATCGTGCCCTAAGGACTTGTAGCCCTTCCAACTCAGATATGTAGATTCTTGGGTCATAGGATCTACCACAGTTCATTGATTCTAGGACATACACTCTCACCGCTCTGAAATCAGACTGCATCTTCCTATAACTGATGATTCATCGTGGTTTAATTGGCAGCGTTGTGTGTGTCTGGGTGGTGATGTAAAGAAAGGCACCCTTTATTCTTGATGGCATCTTCGGTTTGGTGCAATATGGTATTTCCTCTTTAGTCACTTTGTCCAGGCCTCCTCACTCCTGGCTCTCCAGAGGCTGTTCTTGTCATTCCCTTGCAAAGAATAAACTCTGAGCGCTCTCAGAGTTTGAACCACAGCATAGACACTGGCTGTGCGACCTTGGGCAAGTTTCTCAACATCTCTGAGCCTGACTTTTGTTTTCTTTTTTTTTGAGACAGGGTTTCACTCTGTCACCCAGGCTGGAGTGCAGTGGTGCAGCCATGGCTCAGCCTCCACCTCCAGGGCTCAAGTCATCTTCTTGCCTCAATCTCCTGAGTAGCTGTGACTACAGGCGCGCATCACTATGCTGAGCTAATTTTTTATTTTTTGTAGAGACAGGATCCTACTATGTTGCCCAGGCTGGCCTTGGACTCCTGGGCTCAAGCGATCCTTTGCCTCAACCTCCCGAAGTGCCAGGATTACAGGCATGAGCCACCATGTCTGGCCTGGGCCTTACCTTTCTTATATTTAAAGTAAGCATAATGACATTCATTTAGTGAATTTGTGAGAACTGAAAACAAAGAAACAAACAAAACCTACAACATGTCTGTCACAAAACTATTTATTTTCCATTCATCTTCATCTCTTTTTTTTCTTTCTTTCTTTTTTTTGAGGCGGAGTCCCACTCCTTCACCCAGGCTGGAGTGCAGTGGCGCGATCTCGGCTCACTTCAACCTCTGCCTCCCAAGTTCAAGGGAGTCTTCTGCCTCAGCCTCCCGAGTACCTGGGATTATAGGCACGCATCACCATGCCCAGCTAATTTTTGTGTTTTTAGTAGAAACAGGGTTTCACCATGTTGGCCAGGCTGGTCTCAAACTCCTGACCACCCGCCGCTGCCTCCTAAAGTGCTGGGATTACAGGCGTGAGCCACCGCACCTGGCTTCATCTCTTCTTGAAAGTACTTTTTTTTTTTTTTTGAGACGGAGTTTCGCTCTTGTTACCCAGGCTGGAGTGCAATGGCTCGATCTCGGCTCACCGCAACTTCCACCTCCCGGGTTCAGGCAATTCTCCTGCCTCAGCCTCCTGAGTAGCTGGGATTACAGGCACGCACCACCATACCCAGCTAATTTTTTGTATTTTTAGTAGAGATGGGGTTTCACCATGTTGACCAGGATGGTCTCGATCTCTTGACCTTGTGATCCACCCACCTTGGCCTCCCAAAGTGCTGGGATTACAGGCTTGAGCCACCGCGCCCGGCCTGAAAATACTTTTATATACCATTCCATGTGGTTCTCACCATGAGCTTGAGAGGTGGGCTAAAGTGCCTCTTCCTGTTTTCAGCTTCCTGCTGGGAACTTACTCTCTCAAGTTCCTTCCAGCACCACCCCATATAGTTTTCATCGCTCCACACTGTCCAGTGACAACGCCCAATATGGAAGTTCTGCTGGTCCTACAGGGTGTTCTCTGGCTGCCCCAGCGACATGTATTTTAAATTTTTCACATGCTTGTTTGACCCCCCTCCCTGAAGTCAGGTATTGTAATTAGCAGTGTCATTTAAGAAAAAGCCCATTTGGCCAAGCGTGGTGGCTCACACCTGTAATCCTAGCATTTTGGGAAGCCGAGGTGGGCGGATCACCTGAGGTCAGGAGTTCGAGACCAGCCTGACCAATATGGAGAAACCCTGTCTATACTAAAAATACAAAACTAGCTGGGAGTGGTGGTGCACGCCTGTAATCCCAGCCACTCGGGAGGCTGAGGCAGGAGGATTGCTTGAACCTGGGAGGCGGAGGTTGCAGTGAGGAGAGATCACACCATTGCACTCCAGCCTGGGGAACAAAATCGAAACTCTGTCTCAAAAGAAAAGAAAAGAAAAAGCCCTTTAACCGCTCTTTGCCAAAGGATTCTCATCAACAAAACAGTGATGAAACAGCAATGCCAAGCTAGCTAGTTACCTTCTCAAGCACTTATTAAATCAGGTATAACGATTTTGCTTAATCCTCAAGCCTGAGAGGGGGGTGATCCCTGCGGTGATGAGGAAACCGAGGCTTGGTGGTTAATGGCTTGCCTAGATTCATGCTGCTAGCCAAGGAATGGAGTGGAATTTACACCCTGACCCTGGCTGCTTTTCACATTTTCTACACAGCCTTTTCAAGATCCCTGCCAATTCTAAAATTAAATGACTTATGATCAACTGTGTTTCATTATTCTGCATCAGTTCCCAAAACAAACTATATCAAGAGACAGCAAAAATATTTGTAAAGAAAGGATGTCCAACAGTCTGTGTTGTTGTTTTTCTGTGCTCCTCCAATGGTAGGGCCTCTATTGACCAGTGCCACCTCTTCTTTTAGCTGTAAGAAAGACCTGGACTGCACGAAATTGTGCCTACCCTCGACTGAGGATGTTAAGCGCCCTGAGGACCCAGGTGAGGAGAAGTGTCCCGGTACCCATGCGCACCTGCCCTCTCTTTTCTTACTCCACACGTGCATCCATCCCACCCATCCATCTACCCCTGTGGCGTCCTTCTGCCCCTTCCTCTGACCACCACCTGCTTTGTCTCCAGGCACCGCAGTGCTGTTGCCCCTGGTCATCTTCTTTGGTCTTTGCCTTTTATCCCTCCTCTTCATCGGTTTAATGTATCGTTATCAACGGTGGAAGCCCAAGCTCTACTCCATTGGTGAGTGGGCTTTGGGAGGGAGAGGGAGCTGGTGGGGGTGAGGGAGGAGGTGGGTGAGTGCGATGGACAGGTGTGGAGGGAGGTGAGTAGTGTCCCCTCAGTTCACACCGCTGGGGACTCTGGGCAGGAGGCGGCCCTGGATGGCTGGGGAGAGGTCGAGCTGCATCAGTAGCTCTCTTGTCCCTGGGGCCACATAAGTCCTGAGGCATGTCACCACAATTCCCCACTGCCAGCTGAGTCCAGGGCGCAAGGGCTGAGAGAGGAAGTGAAATTTATGACACTTTGTTTCTTTTTTCTCAGTTTGTGGGAAATCAACACCTAAAAAAGAGGTGAGATGAAATCAGGGAGCTACTCCCAAATGTCCCTGACTGTTCCTCATAAGTGCCTATTCAGTTCCTCTGGAAACATCCTTCACCTCCTGGGGGCTTCCCTCATTCCCTCTAAGTCCCACCCCCCCATCCAGAATAAAGAGGGGAGGGGCGGGGGCTGGGTTTTGCTCCCCCACTAATGCTGCCCCGCCTTCTCTCTTTCAGGGAGAGCTTGATGGAACTACTTCTAAGCCCCTGGCCCCAACCCCAAGCTTCAGTCCCACTCCAGACTGCATCTCCACCGTGGGTTTCACTCCCATGCCCAATTCCATCTTCACCTCCAGCTCCCTCTATACCCCTGGGGACTGTCCCAACCTCGCGGCTCCCCACAGAGAGATGGCACCACCCTACCAGGGTGCTGACCCCATCTTGGCCCCAGCCCTCGCCTCTGCCCTCATCCCCACCGCGCTTCAGAAGTGGGAGGACAGCGCTCACAAGCCACAGAGCGTAGACAGTGAGTTTCTCCTGCGGCTGGAGATGGAGGTGGGGGATGGGGGGATTGGCCGGGGAGAGGTGGGAGGGTCACGGGCTGCGCTCCCGGAGAGGACTGGAAAAGGCGGACGGCGAGGGTGCGGGCGGGGTCTGGGGTTGCCTCCCTCCCGAGGCTCACCAGCCCGCGCCCCCGCAGCCGACGACCCCGCGACGCTGTACGCCGTGGTGGACGGCGTGCCCCCCCTGCGCTGGAAGGAGTTCGTGCGGCGCCTGGGGCTGAGCGAACACGAGATCGAGCGGCTGGAGCTGCAGAACGGGCGCTGCCTGCGAGAAGCGCACTACAGCATGCTGGCGGCCTGGAGGCGGCGCACGCCGCGGCGCGAGGCCACGCTGGAGCTGCTGGGCCGCGTGCTCCGCGACATGGACCTGCTGGGCTGCCTGGAGGACATCGAGGAGGCGCTGTGCGGCCCCGCCACCCTCCCGCCCGCGCCCGATCTTCTCAGATGAGGCTGCGCCCCCGTGGGCAGCTCGAAGGACAGTCGCTGCGAAACCCCCTTCTGGAGAGGTGGGGTGCTGGAGGAGCAGGCAGGGGCCGGCAGCCGCCTGCTTGGTGCTACCCTCTAGATGTACATAGCTTTTCTCCGCTGTCTGAGCGTGGCCTGCAGTCAGCGCTGTGCGCTGCGCGCGTGGGGAGAGGTGTGCCGCGGGCTCAAGAGCCCGGGAGAGGCAGTGTGCCAAGAGCCTGAGTGGGAGTTTCGGGGACGAGGGGCGCGGTGCCTCATGTCTTGGGTGTTCTCACCAGCAAGACTGCTCGGGGACCCCTGGTTTCTCCCTGAGCCTTTTTCATACATAAGCAGTCTTTTTTTTTTTTTTTTTTTTTTTTAAAGCAATCATGTTACACTAATAGAAACTTGGCGCTCCTGTGCCCTCTGCCTAGACAAGCACAGAGCAGGATGAACTGTCCCAAGGCAGGGGTGAACACAGAACAATGGGGCCTTCAGTTGGAGCTGTGGACTTTTGTAAATGCACTAAATCTCGGAAATTAAAGCTCTGCTCTTGGAGAGAATGGTCTGTATGGATGGGAGGCGGGGCAGAGGCCCAGATCCTGAGGGGTGAGCTGGGAAAGGTCCTGCACTAGGGCCAGGTAGCCCACCACCGCCCCGCCAACTGACAGAGGAGCAGCAGGTTCTCTTTCTGTCCTCCCTTATCTGTTGCCCAAGCGGGAGTGCAGGGGCGCCACCAAGGCTCACTGCAGCCTCCAACTCTTGGACTCATGGGATCCTCCCACCTCAGCCTCCAGACATAGGCGCGCCACCACACCGGGCTAATTTAAAAAAAAATTTTTTCGTAAAGACAGTATTTCCCTCTATTGCCCAAAGCTCTGGGATAATAGGCAGGCATGCCCAGCCAGGACAGCCATTTTTATGCACAAGGGGTCAAGTTTCTGCGGGGCTCAGGTGCACCTATGATACATAAATTTACAGTTCTTGATCCCCAAAGTCCTCAGAGCAGAAGGCAGGGTGCCAGTGCCAGGCTTCCTTTGGGAAATGTGGGCTTTGAGGTAGAGTCAAGGATGCCGGAGGGTGACCAGCACTGCTGGTGAGAGATTTCCTCTGGGAGAGATGCATGTCAAAGGTCCTCCGCGTTCCTCACACCTCTCTGAAAAGACAGGAGGGGGTGTTAAGCGACAGTCAGCGGCAGTGGCTGAGGGTCAGGTGAAGAGTGAAGCGGAGGGCCCTTCCTGCCCCGCTCCCTGCTCCTGTACTGCCCTCTTTGTATACTGCACCCCCCATACAGACGTCCCCGTGTGCCCCCTCCCAGGCCAGCTTTCCTCCAGTACTTACGATGTGGACAGCGGGGTGTCCAGCTGAATGATGTGGGTTCCCCGCATCCTCTGCAGCTGGGCCAGAGTCAGCTTCCGTGGCCTGCTGTCCCGGGGCTCCATGGCCCCCTCAATCCTTTGGGTGGCCAGCTCCTCCCGGATCTCTCTGAGCATGTCCTCAGCCCGCAGCGGGCGCAGGGATCTGTCGCCGGCACCCAGGAAGAGAGGCCCCTCTTCTTCCTCCCCTGAGGACTCCCAGGGGCTCTCCCCGGCAGAGTCAGCATGGGTTGGGGAGGAGGGAAGCTGGTTCCGAAGCCAGGCCCTGTGCAGTGTTTCCACCACCACATTCCCTGGCACGGAGGCCCCATCTTCTTCCTCAGACCAGGTTGGTGGGTCTCCCCGGGGAAGACTGCCTCCTTTTCGGATTCCTTCTGGCAGTTCGGGGGCACTTCGGCGTTGAGGAGCTTGGGAGTCGGGAGGCTGAGGACGCAGAGGGATGGCCCGGAGGTCCAGGGTGGAGAAGGTGAGGCGAGGGTCCCGCCGAAGGGCTCTTTGGCGTAGACGGCTCAGTGGGGAGCGGGACCCCGTGGGGGTGCCTGGGATCAAAGTGCTGTAGCCAGAGTCTGAGGTATCATCTGGCACAAAAGGAGCATCTTCATCCGTGTCTTCCGTCACCACCAGGAGGGGGATGATGGTCGAGATTTCAGGAGTCCTACAATTAATGGCGAAGAGTCAGATGCATAGGGGTCAAGTTCAAGTCCAGGGAGGTTCCCTTGATCACTACATCCAGAAACAGCCCCTCCTCCAAACTTATTTTGTTATTGTCTTTCCATGTCACTGTGATTGGTTTTCTCATCTGGCTCCCTAGATTTTAAGCTCCTAAGAGAGCAGGGGCTGTCTCTAAGTTGTCTTATCCATAGCACCTGGTCCAGGATCTTGTATGGAGTGGGTGGTCAGGTGTTTGCTGAGTGGTTCCTGAATTTACCTGGTGTTATCCTCAGGGAACGATTCTTCTTTTCTCCTTAAGCATGCCGCCAAGCAGCGGTGCTATCCTAGATGAACCTCCCATATTCCCTGGGGATTTGGCAGCTCTGATCTTCTGCAAATCCACACCCGCCCCACTCTCGAGCCTGCTCCTCTTGGGGTGCTCCTGTGCGGCTCTGGGCTGGCTAACCCTGTAGGCTGTCCATGCCCTGCCCCCCACCCCCAACACAACTGGTACTGACCTTCCCTACCCTGCCCAATAGAACTGCGTTCCTCTGTCTATTCCCAATTCCACCAAAAGTGTACTGTAATGCCATTTCTCAGCCTATGGCTTCCTCCTCTTCCCCTCCCTGCCTGCAGCCCCCTACTCGGGGAGGCCTTGTAGTCCATGTGAGTCTTACCTCCCTTCTGCACTGTTCTGAGAGCCCTCCAGGGAAGGCGTGGAGGGCCTGGTGCTGGGGGACTCCCTGCCCTGGTCCCGATAGAGGGCCAGGAGCTCCCTCTTCTGTTGGACGTACTCCTCTTCCTTCAGCTTCTGTAGGGTGGCCTGGGAGAGGACACCTCATTATTAAGCGCTCCCATTTACTGAGCACTTGCTGTTTGCCAGGCACCCTGTTAAGTGCGTTACATATATCACCTTATTTAATCTTTACAAAACCCCATTAGCCAGATATTTTCACCCCTCCCTTATTACCAAGACTTGGAGACTCTAAGGTTGAGTAACTGCCCGAGGGGGTACTTCTTATAGTAAGAAAGTGGGATGGTGTGGGGATTTGGTGGCACCAAACTCTCGAGCTGGTGTTGGGGGTGAGCGAGGTGAACAGAATGCCCCTTTTCCTACCTGCATAGGTCTTGCTTCTCATGCCCCCTTGGTAGACCCTTTATCAGGCCTTCCCCCTCCTTCAGGAAGCCCTCCCTGGTTGGTGGTGATGGTAGAGTAAGTGTTCTGAATTGGTACTGGTTGTTCCTTCAAGAGCATCCCTCTCCTACCCCCTGGGCCTCTGCCCTGAAGCTGGGAGGAGCAGGAGGGCAGAACATGGGCAGAGCTGGGCTTTGTCCCGGGCTGAGGCCTCTGCTGTCCTTCAGAGGGAGGCAAGTTCCTAGAAGGTTGAGGAGAGGATGCTTTGTATCGACTGTCTTCCTCCCTCCCTCAGCAATTTCATACAGGAAGCATCAGAATGAAATAGCGCCATCTGAATAAGTTTCAAAGATCTTTGCACATGTGGTCATTTGATACACACCATGGCCCTTTGGCGTGGAGAACATGAATGGTAGCCCATTTTACAGGTAAGAATCCTAGACCTAGAGAGGTGAAGTGACTTGCCCAAGGCCCCGCAGGTGTGGAGAAGCAGAGCTGGGACAGGGTCTTGCTCTTTGAGTCCTAATTCAGTGACTGCAACACTTTCAAGGGCAGCCTTGAAGGGTAAAGAGTTACTGAAGGTCGTTAGCTTGGGGAGGGAGAGGGGAAGGGGAGGGAAGAGATGGCAGCAGAGCTGAGGTTGGAGGCAGAGACGAGCCTTGGCAAAGGGGAGGCACGGGTGGCTGCTGTGGGCAGCACTGATACCAGCACTTGCTGGTATGGTCGTATCATTGTTAAAATATCGAAGTCTTCCATGCTAGTAAGGAAATGGCTGCTGCCGGGGCCTCATCCACTTCCGCCATCCCCATGATCTAGCAACTAGGGGGTACGGTCTGGCACAGCAGAGGACCTCTAGTACAATGCTCCCTTCTGATTGGTTGATGCCCATACCATAGTAATTGTTCTCCCCAGCTTGAGGCATAGGAAGCAGCTCCTGGGCACCTGGACTTTCCCAAAGCCTCTCAAGAAAGCCTGGGGGCAGCTGGGTCAGGAAGAGAGATGAAATGGATGAACACGGATAGGAAAATGACATCAGGGTTATATTTCCAATTCCGTTTTTTCTGGCTCTCCAGTCACTTATTCCCAAGGGTGACAGCAGTCTTACAAGATGTGGTCTGTTGGCCAGACCAGGGCAGGGTACCTGGGGACAGGAAACCTGCGAGGGCTAGGAGCTGGGGAGGATTCCCTCTTCCCCAGACCTTATATCCCAGCTCCATGTGAAGCAGGGAAGGAGTGAGAGAAGGGGGGGGGCAGAGGGGCGGGGCTGATCTGCTTGTCCTGCTGGGGTGTCCTTTTGCCCTACAGGACCCAAATTCAGGTTTATGTTTGGGGTGCCAGGAGAGGGATGTTATGTGAAAGAAAAGAACTGGAAGGAAGCAGGGTTTCTGTAAGGGACATCCGATGCCAGCACCTCTGCTAAACTCCTTGGCTGACCCCAGGAAGAGGCTGGAGGTGGGTAGGGGGAGCCCCGAGCACAGGGGGACGGGGCTGTCTGAGGTGCCTCCCAGCAAGCCCAAGGCCTCTCCAGCAACCCCGGGAGTTTTTTCTCAGCTTGGATAACAGGAGAGACATACAGGAGGCAGAGGGGAGGACGGGGAAGGAAAAGGAAATTGGCACTTGAGCCAGAATGTGACACCCTTACAAACCTGAGCATAGGAAGGGAGGGCCCCCAGCAGGATTCTTCTTCCTTTGTCCCCGTGTAGAGGAAATGCCTCCTTTCCCTGCTGTCTCTGGGGTGGCTCCTAGATTCACCCACCCTCCTCCCACAACTCCCCCATGCTGGCGTAAAACTGAACTCTGAAAGGCACCCACTGACTTCCCCAGCAACGGATGTGGATACGTTTCCCCAGTCAGCAGCTGGCCCTACCCAGGTCCCACGGACCATCCCTTTCTTCTAATGATGGCAATGGCAAACATTTATGGAGTGCCTAAACAGTGCTGGGCCTTGTGGCAAGCCACTTACGGACGTAATTGTTCTGTCTGTCCTGTGTGCCCTGAAGTTCCCCAGAAGAGGTGAAGTAACTCCCTGACAGCTTACGTGTCGGAGCTCAGGGGGAGCTCGGGTCTCTCCTTCCAACCCTGGCCCTTAGCCTCCGCTGCCTCCTTCAGTCTCCCTGCTTTAATTTCTTGGTCGCCGTCTCTGACAGCTCTTTCTGTTCCTGTCACTGTTCCTTTTCCTCTTCTCAGTCCCTGGGCATTCCCCAAGATTCAGTCTCTTCTCCCGGCAGCTCATTTTCCCTAACAGTGTGAGCCATCACAGCTAGATGTGGTAGGAATAAATTTACAAGTCAACATTTCTGCCAGGGTGAGAAAACAATAGTCTGATCCCTGGGGATTGCTCTCTGAAAGAGGCCAATAGAGATTCTACTGCCCTCTTCAGTTTATAAAGACTGATC